CGAACCCTCCTCTGCTCCCCCCGAGCCCCCCCCTCACCGAAGTAAGGCTCCTCGGGGCACCCCCGGATTTTGACCCCCCGCGGGCCCGTCTCGATCAGGAAGTGCCGGACCAGCTGCTCCTGGGGGTCCCCTGGGGGGGCCGGGGTGGGGTCAGAGGCCAGCGAGACCCCCGAGAGCCCCCCCGGCACCCCCGAGCCCCCAGCGTTCTCCATGGGGGTGTCCGTGGGGGGATCCCGGAGGGTTCAGGGGGTCTTGGGGTGTCCAACCCCCCACGGCCCCCCCATACTGCAGGGGGGGGGGTCTCTGGGGAGAATTTGGGGTGATTTTCAGGGGTCCCTGGGGTGCTGGGGGTGTCGGTGCCCTGGGAGATGCCCGAGACCCCCCCGGCCCCAATATTCCACAGTGGGGAGGTGGATTTGGGGGGGTCCACGGGGTTCGGGGTGTCCGTACCCGCTCTGGGGGCGGCGCGGGGGGGCGGGACCCCCACCCTGAGCGCCAGCCCGAAGGCCCCCGGGAAGCTGCTGCTGCGGCGGACGAGGAAGGAGCCGGGCGGGGCCGCCTTGAGCAGCGACACGGCTGGGGAGACACGCGGGGGTCGCACCGGGGGAGGGGGCACGGGGCGGGACCCCACCGCCCCCCCATTGAACCCTGCAAGCCACCCATAGACCTCACCCGTGACTCCCCCCATATTAACCCCTTCGCGCCCCCATCGTTACCTGTCGGCTCCTGGGGCTCCCCCACGGCGGGGGGGTCGTAGCCCCCTTTTCCGGGGGGGGGTCCCCGCTCCGGTCCCAGCCCGGGGCGGCCACAGTGGGGGCAGTTTGGGGGCTCCGGAGGCGGCGCGGGGGGGCCCCCCCAGCCGTGCCCGCCATAAATGGGGCGGGCGGGGAGCGGGGTGATGCCCCCCCAGCCCTGGCAGTCCTGGCAGGGGCAGAGGGGCGGGAGCCCCCCCAGAAGCAGGTCCCCCCCCGCCACGGGGCGCCCGTAGCCCCCGGGGGATGCCGGGGGGCCGTGCGGCTTTGGGGGGCTGTAGGACGTCGGGGGGCTGTGGGGGGCTGGGGTCTCCGGGGATGTGGGGGTCCCATAGGGTGTCAGGGTCTCGTGGATGATGGGGGTCCCGTGGGGCATCAGGGGGCTGTAGGACACGGGGGACTTGTGGGCTGGCGGGGGGCTCTGGGGCGTTGGGGAGCCATGAGATGGGGGGGTCCCATAGGATTTTGGGGTCCCGTAGGGTGACGGGGACCGCTGGGATGTTGGGGTGCCGTAGGGAGTGGCGGTCTCCAGGGATGTTGGGGTCCCATGGGATGCTGGGGGGCTGTAGGGCATCAGCGAGCCCGGGAATGTTGAAGCCCCCTGGGACACAGAGCCGCTGTGGGGCACCAGGGCGTCCTGGGACAGCGCGGTCCCGTGGAACGTCGGGGACCCCCGCGATATTGGGGTCCTGTGGGATACCGGGGTCCCGTAGGGCGCTGTGACCCCGAGGGACATCGGGGTCCCGGGGGATACCGGGGGGCCATGGGGCGCCGGGGTCCCGTAGGAAGCTGGGGACCCCTGGGACGCCGGGGGGCCGTGGAGGGCCAGGCTCTCGTGGGGCACCAGGGTCCCGTAGGGCTTTGGGGTGTCGTAGGGGGTGGGGGACCCCTGGGCTTTGGGGGCCCCACAGGACGGGGGGAAGCCGTGGGGCGTCAGGGTCCCGCAGGATGTGGGGGGAGCGGGGGTCCCGTGGCCCCGTGCCCCACCTTGCCAGGCCAGGTCCAGCTCGTCCCGGCGCAGCCTCAGGCGGGGCCCGCGCAGGGTCCCCGTGTGGAACTGCACCCCAAAAACCGCCTCGCGCCCCCCCCGCCGCCGGTGGTAGCAGCGCACCTGGGGGGGCAGGGGGGGCACAGGTGAGGGAGGGGCTCGGACAGGGTCACACCCCAAGGGCGGGGGTCCCCCCTCCGGGCCCCCCCTCACCATCACGTCCCCCTTGAGCAGCAGCGCCGGTTCCAGGGTGACGCAGAGCGGCTGCGAGGCGGGGGGGCTGCTGGGAAAAGGGGGGCGTTGGGGGGGGTCAGTCATTTTGGGGGGGGTGTCTGACACCTCGGCACCCACCGAGCACCGGGGGGAGCCCCTGGAGCCCTCAAAGTGGGGGGGTCGGGTGTGCAGGTCAGGTTTGGGGGCGCCCCCGGGACCCCCAGGTGGGCACAGTGGGGGATGTGAGGGGTGAGGGAGGCCCCGGGACGCCCCCCAGGCACAGCAGGGTGGGAGTGGGCTTTGGGAGGCTGCGGGACCCCCGAGGTGCAGGGGAGGTCAGATTTGGGGGGGGGTCACTCACTAGACCCCCGAGGTGTAGACGAGCTGCAGCGATTGGTAAATCTTGAGGAAGGGGCGGCAGCCTGGGGGGAGACAGGGGGGAGTTACTGGGGGGGCTCTGGGGGCTGCCGGGGTCCCTCCCCCCGCCCCAAACTGACCGTCGGGGGGGTCGTAGGCGGGCAGGGGGGGCAGCAGGACGTGGTGCAGGAACTGGGGCGAGCTGTTCAGGCGGAGCCGCCCCGAGAGCAGCGCCCCAAAATCCTCCGTGTACCTGGGGGGGGCACGGGTGGAACCCCAAAACCGCCCCAAAACTGCCCCAAACCCCCAAAACTGCCCCAAAACCGCCCCAAACCCCAAAACCGCCCCAAAACCGCCCGAAAACCACACCAAACCCCCAAAACACCCCCAAAACCGCCCCAAACCCCCAAAACCACACCAAAAGCGTGACAAAAGCATGCCAAAAATCCCCTTGAGACGACCCCCAACATCAACTGAAACCTCGCCAAAAAACACCCCTAAGAACCACCCCAAAACCACCCCAAAAATCACCCTAAACCACACCAGAAGTTACCCCTAGAACACTAAAACCCACCCCAAAATCACCCGAACACCCCAAAAGTCACCCCAAAATCCCCCAGAACCCACTCCCCCAAATGAGCCCCGCTGTTACCCCAGCTGTTACCCCAGTTACCCCAACTGTTACCCCATTTACCCCAGCTGTTACCCCAGCTGTTGCCCCATTATTACCCCAGTTACCCCAGTTGCTGCCCAGGCTACCCCAATTGTTGCCCCCGCTGCCCCAGTTTTTGCCCCAGCTGTTTCTCCACTTGTTGCCCCAGTTGCCCCAATTATTGCCCCAGTTGCTACCCCAGCTGCCCCAGCAGTTGCACCCACTGTTGCCCCAGCAGTAGCCCCAGCAGCCCCAGTTACCCCAGTAGCTCCAGTTGCCCCCGCTGTTGCCCCAGTAGCTGCCCCAGTTGCCCCAGTAGCCCCCACTGTTGCCCCAGCCGCCCCACAGCCCCAGTAGCCCCAGTTGCTGCCCCAGCAGCTGCCCCAGCTGCCCCGCTGCCCCAGTAGCCCCACTTACCCCAGTAGCCCCAGCAGTAGCCCCGCTGTTGCCCCAGTAGCCCCAGCAGCTGCCCCCCCCCGCTGTTGTCCCCCAGTTGCCCTGCCGTTGCCCCAGTTAACCAGTAGCTCCAGCAGCCCCAGTTGCCCCCGCTGTTGCCCCAGCAGCCCCTGTTGCCCCGCTCACCGTGTAGTTGGGGCCGTGCCGCGCCCCCAGCAGCCGGGCCAGGTGCCGCAGGTGCCCCCCGGGCCCCCCCTCGCCCCCCGGCACGGCCACGCTCAGGATGCGCTCGGTGACGAAGGCCAGGTCCAGCTGCGGGAACGGGGGGGGCTCGGGGCTGGGGGGTCCCGAGGGGGGTAGGGGGCTCCTGCCCGGGGGTGCTTCGGGGTTTGGGGGTCTCGAAGGGGATTTGGGGGGTCTCGGGTCCTGCCCGGCGGCTCCGGGGGGTTCGCGCCCCGCCCCCACTCACCAGCTCAGGCGGGGGCAGAGGTTGGCACGGTGACGTCACCTGCAGGAGGACACGGGGGTCATCCCAAGTGGGACCCCAGCCCCAAATGGGCCCCCCGCCCTTGGGTGACGCCCCCGCCCCCCCCTCGTACCTTGCTCTCACATCTCTTGTGGGCGGCGACTTTGCAAACTGGGGGGGGACAACGGCGACATCAGGAACTCCCAGGGACCCCCCCGTACCCCCCCCCCACCCCCCCCCCCCCAGTACCCCCCCCATACCCTCCCGCTGCCCCCAGCAACCTCCCAGTATCCCCAGTAACCGCCCACTGCCTCCAGTGAACTCCCAGTGACCCCAGTAACCGCCCAAGGAACCCCCCAGTGCTCCCAGTAAGTGCCCAGTGCTTTCCCAGTGCTCCCAGTAAGTGCCCAGTGCCCTCCCAGTGCTCCCAGGAACTGCCCAGTGCCCCCAGTAACCACACAAGGAACCCCCCAGGGCTCCCAGTAACTGCCCAGGGCCCTCCCAGTATCCCCAGTAACTGTCCAGGGCCCCCCCCAACGCTCCCAGGAACTGCCCAGTGCCCTCCCAGTGCTCCCAGTAACTGCCCAGTGTCCTCCCAGTGCTCCCAGTAAGTGCCCAGTGTCCTCCCAGTGCTCCCCGTAAGTGCCCAGTGCTCTCCCAGTGCTCCCTGTAACCTCCCACTGTCCCCACTAACCCCTCCCCGCCCCATCCAGCCCCCCCGGGGGTGTCCCGGTGTGTCCCGGTGTGTCCCGGGGGTGTCCCGGTGTGTCCCAGTGTGTCCCGGTGTGTCCCGGTGTGTCCCGGGGCTGTCCCGGTGTGTCCCGGTGTGTCCCGGTGTGTCCCGGGTGTGTCCCAGTGTGTCCCGGGTGTGTCCCGGTGTGTCCCGGTGTGTCCCGCGGGTGTCCCGGTGTGTCCCGGGGGTGTCCCGGTGTGTCCCGGTGTGTCCCGGCGGTGTCACCTCTGCAGACGAGCCCGTGGGGTCCCAGGGGGGTCCCGCAGCCCCCGCAGGGCGCCCCCCGGCGCAGGCTCCGCTCGCGGAACGCGTGGGGCGCGGCAGGGGACGGCCTGGGCTGGGGACACACGGGGGGGTCACGGCGTATCCCCTCCATGTCCTCCCCGCGCCACGGCCATGGCCGCTCGCGTCACTTCTGTGCCACCCCCACGACCCCCCCGTCTCCCATTTGTGTCCCCTCCATGTCCCCCCCAATGTCACCTCTTGTGTCCCCTCCATGTCTTCCCCCGATGCCTCCTCTCATGCCCCCCTGATGTCACCTCTCGTGTCCCCGTCATGTCCTCCCTGATGTCACCTCTCGTGTTCCCCCCTACCCTCCCCCCCTCCCCCCTTTCTGTCACCTCTTGTGTCCCCTCCATGTCTTCCCCCGATGCCTCCTCTCATGCCCCCCTGATGTCACCTCTCGTGTCCCCGTCATGTCCTCCCTGATGTCACCTCTCGTGCCCCCCCATATCTTCCCCGATGTCACCTCTCCTGTCCCCTCCATGTCCCCCCGATGTCACCTCTCATGTCCCCCCGATGCCACCTCTCGTGTCCCCCATGTCCCCCCTGTCACCCTCTGTGTCTCTTTTGTGAACCCCCCGTGTCGTCCCCGGGTCCCCCCGGGGACCCCCCCCCCCCGCCCCCCCCCCCCCCCAGTGCCGCCCCCAGTCCCGCCCAGTTCCCATCGTGTCACCTCCGTGTCTCCTCGTGTCGCCCCCCTGGATACCCCCCGTCCCCCTCTGTCCCCCTCACGTGTCCCCAAGTGTCACTCCCTTGTCCCCTCGGTGTCCCCCGTGTTCCCTCCGTGGCTTCTCACTGACGGCTCCGCGTCTCCTCCGTGTCACCCGTGTCCCCTCCACGACGCCACACGTGTCCCCGCATGTGTCCCCACCATGTCCCCCCCCCGTCCTCCCCTGTGTCCCCTCTCGGACCGCGTGGGGAGGGGGCGGCTGGGGCGGGAACCCCGCGGGGTCGCCGCGGGAGGGGTCCCCCCGCTTCTCCCCACCGCAGCCAGCCCCCCCCTTCCCCACAGGGGTCCCCACCCCACGCGGGACCCCCACCCACACCGGGAGCTCCCCCGGTCCTACCGTGTCGGGGCCATCGCGGCGGCCGAGCGCGCGCAGCAGCGTCCCCACGGCCCCGGGGGGCTTCATGGGGGGGCTCCGCGGGGACCTCGGGGGGTCCCAGGCGCTCCCGGGGGGCGGCGCGGGGCTCCCCGCGGGTCCCGCCGGCGGCTCCGTGGCCGAAGGCGCGCGGGGAGGGGCCGTTTCCGCGAGCCCGGAGCCGCTTCCCGTGCCGGGGGGGGACACGGACACGGGGGGGACACGGGGGGGACGACACGGGAACGACACGTGTGGCCACGGGGAGGGGACACCGGCAGGGACATAGGGGGACAAGGAGGAGACGCGGGGGACGCACAGAGACACGCGGGGCGGACACGGGGGGACACGGGACACCGCGAGGATCACAGGGGAGACAGGGGGAGGGACACAGGGGGGACACGCGGGGTGACACCTCCCTCTGCTGACGCTGCCTCAGTTTCCCCCCTCCTCACTTCCAGGTTCCCCCAAAATTCCTCCCGAGCTCCCCCCGGCACCTTCCTGGCGCTGCCCCCGCCCCCTCTTCATCCTCCTCCTCCTCCTCCTCCTCCCACCGCCCCCCTGCTAATCAGCCCCGCGGGCCCCCGGGACCCCCAAACTCCGGGGGAACGGGGGGGTTGGACACACCCCATGGGGACCCCAAAGTCAAGGAGAAGGGGGAGACTGAGACCCCCCCACGGGACCCCCCGATTCGGTGGGAAAGGGGATCCTCAGCCCATGGGACCCCCAGACCCGGGGCGGGGGATGTTGGTCTGGGGGGGCTCGAGGGTCCCCACACAGTCCCGAGATGCAGGGGATGCCCCGGGATGACCCCCCTCTCTCGGGGGGCCCCTGGGGGGAAGCTCGTTTCAAGGGGAGGAATTGGGGTACAGGGGGTTTTGGTGGGCGTTGGGGGGTATTGAAGGGGGGGGAGGAATTAGGGTGCAAGGAGGATTTTGGGGTGCAGGGCCGGGTTCGGGTTATTGTGCTGGGGGGGTTGGGGTGCAGGGAGGGAATCGGGGGTCAGGAGGGGAATTGGGGAGGGGCTTTTTGGGGTGCAGGAGGAGGATTTGGGCTCCAGGGCTTTGAGGCGCAGAGGGGATTGAGGGGCCTGATCAGGGCTCCTCTCCATTTGGGGTTGGCAGCGTCCCCTTCTCCCGGCCCTTGGGGTCCCCCCCCTCCCCCGGCCAGGACAGACCCCCCTTTGTGGGGCCGGAGCCGCCGCGGGGGGGGCGCGCATTCCAGCGGTGGGGGAGGCGGGCTCCAGCATTCCAGCGGTTGGGAAGAGCCGGGAAAGAGGAAGGGAGGGGGGGGCGGCATCCTTGGGCTCGGTGCTGTGCCCGCGCCCCCAATTAATTACTGTTAATTAGTGGGGGCGGAGGAGGAATGGAAGGACGCGGAGAAGGAGGGATCAGGATGGAGGTGAAGGAGGAAAAATGAAAAAGGAGATGGAGGAAGAGGATGAAGAATTAGGGATGAGGAGGAAGAAGATGGAAGGAGGAAAGTGAATGAGGAAGGAGAAGGAAGAATGGGACGAAGGACAGAGGGAAGAAGGAAGGAGAAGGAAAAAGAAGAAAAGAGGAGGAAGAAAATGAGGTGGAAAAGTGGAAGTGAAACAGGAGATGGAATGATGCAGGAGGAAGAAACAAGGACGGCGGGGAAGAGCAAGAGAGGACAGAAGGAAGGAGGATGAAGGAGGAGAAAAGGCAGGAAGGAAGAAGGAATGAAGAAGGAGGAGGAAAGATGGAATGAGGAAAGAGGACGCAGGAAGGGAAAAGGAAGCCCAGGGAGAGGAAGGCAATGTCGGGACAGGAAACTCCCCCCGGGGAGCTTTGGGAACTGCCCCGTTCCCCTTCAAGGTGGGGAAGAAAAGGGCACAAGGATTTGGGGCCTTTCTGGCTCTTTTTCAGCTCATTTTATTGGAGAAAACAGAACAGCCCCCAACCTGGGGGAGAACCCCAAAACACCCCCTGGGGACCCCAAAACTCCCCCAGGACCTCCCAAAACCTCTGGGAAGGTTCTTTTTACACATTTTTACAGCCCACCCCAAATCCCAAAATCTCAGAATATCTTGAGGTTCTGGGGTGGAAATCCAGGTTTTCCTGTGTAAAGGGCGGGGTTTGCATCCCAAAAATTGGGCAGGGGAATTGGGGGGGACACCTGTGAGCAGGAGGATGATGAAGGTGTCTAGGGGGAAATCAACATTCCAGAGGTGAGGAAAATGGGGGGTGGAGGGGGATCCCAGACCCTGGAGGATTTGGGGGGGATGGGATGCCTCCCTATCCCTGTTTTGGAGGCGCTCCAGTGAGGAGGGGGTGGGAGGAAGGCCAGCTCTTCCTCACCCCTTATTCCATGTTAAACACAGAGGTGGGGGGGGTTTCTTTCTAGAAAACTCTTGGAATTACCCCTCCTGCCCCCCGGGTGCTGATTTTGGGGTGATTCCCGTGCGTTCAGGGTGGGGTTTTTTTTTCAGGATTTAAGAAGCTGTAGCTGAGGGAATTGATGAGTTTTAGGCTTTATTTCCGTCTCGCCTGGATCAAGGTTGGGATTTTTGGGAATCTCCGGAGGTTCCCGCGGCAGCTGAGGAGGAGGAGGAGGGGGAGGAAGCTTTTACTCAGCTCCTTCTTCATCATCACCTTCATCCTCCCCATCCATGGAGAGCGCGGCATATTTGCTGGCATGGCTGAACTGCAGGGAAAACCAGGAAAAATTCCCAAAAATGAGATTTGAGGGGGATCAAGATCCCCAGGGGCTCACACATCCCAAAACCAGGGGGTCACAGCCCCCCCAAAAGGGGCCAGAGAAATCCAAAACTGCTGGGGTGGTTCATATGGGAGGGCCAGGGGGGTCACTGCTGAAACAAAAAAAAATCCCCAAGCCTCCAAAAAACCAAGACTTGAATGGGATGAAGACCCCCAGGGGGTCATGCACCCCAAAAAGGGGGTTCCCAGCACCCCCCAAAGGGGTTTCAGACTGCCCAAGGCTGAACTGTGAGGGTGGGCAGAGGGAGGGAGGCAATGAAGCAGAAAATTCCCAAAATACCCCAAAAAATGAGATTTGAGGGGTCAAAGTCCCCTGGGGGTTCACTCACCCCAAAGAGGGGTCAGAGCCCCCCTGATAACTGGAGGCATGGGGCATCAGTTATGGAGAAATTTCCCAAAACCCCCCAAACCCAGGATTTGAGGGGGTCCCCATGATCCTTACAGAGGGGGGGTTCTCCTCCAGTTTCTTTGGCTCGTGCTCCTTCCGGGGGTCCCTCCTGAGGAGCAAAGGTCAGAGGTCAATTCCCGGGGAAATTCCTGGTGCCCGGGGGGTGCTCCGGGTTCCTGAGGGGGTTCTGGGGTGGGGGTCTCACCTCTCAGGGTCTCCCATTCCTGCGGGGCCACGGCTGCAGCTCCGGCCCTTGGAGCTGCTCTCCCGACCCCCCTCTGGCTTCAGTTCCTCTGCTGGGAAAGGGTGGGGGGGTCACAGCCCCCAAAACCCCCTGAGCCCCCCCAAGCCCCCCTGACCCTCCCAGCAAGGCCTCAACATCCCTGGAACCCCCCAACCCCCTTTAAAATCCCCCACAAGATCCCTCAACCCTCTCAGATCCCGATACCAACCTCCCCCCAAATTCCCCTGAGCTCCTCCCAAATCCCCCAAGCCCCCCAAACACCTTCTGAGCCCCCCCAAGTGCTACCAAGACTTCCCCAAATCCCCAAAACCCACCCCGAGCCTTCCAAATCCCCTTCTCCCATTCTCACCTCTCCTCTGGGGGGTCCTGGGGGGGCCCCCATCATCTCCAGGGGGGGAGGGGCCAGCAGGGCCCCCACTGGGGAGACAGAAAATGGGGGAGGGGCATCAGGGGGGGTCCCTGGAATGGCCCCATTCCTAGGAATGGTGGCATGGGGCATGGAAATGTTGGGATAGGGCCTGGGAATGTTGGGGTGGAGCACAGAAGGGTCCACAGGGAATTCCTGGGAATGTTGGGATGGGGTCCTGCAATATCCCTGGGCCCTGGGAATGTCAGGATGGGCCACAGGAACATCCCTGAACCACAGGAAAGTCGGGATTGGGCACAAGAATGCTGGGATGGAGCCCAGGAACACACCTGAGAATGGTGGGAGGGGGCACAGGAAGGTTGGAATGAGCAGAAGAGCCTCCATGGGCTGCAGGAGTGTTGGGATGGACCACGGAACACCGGGATGGGCTATGGTAATATTGGGATGTGTGGCAGGAGCATCCCCGGGCCACAGGAATGCTGGGTTGTGCCAGTGACTCCACTGGTACAGGAACATCTCTGTGATAGAGATGTTGGGATGGGCAGCAGAAAGGTTGGGATGGGCAGCAGAAATATTGGGATGCACTACAGGATCATCCCTGGGAATGTCAGCGTCCCCTTCTCCTGGCCCTTGGGGTCCTCCTCTAGGGAAAAGCAGGGACCCATGGAATGGTTTGGGCTGGAAAAGCCCCCCCAGGCCACTCCTTCCTGAGACACCCACCTGGTCGGGGAGGTTTGCTCCGAGTCAGAGCTCTGGGAATTGCCGGGGGGGTTCTGGCTGCTCCTCTTCATCCAGGCGTTTTCCTTGGGAGGCGGCGCCGGCATCACCTTTGGCTTCTCCTCCCGGGATTTGGGGGGCGGTGAGGGTGGCTCCTCCTCTTTTCCTAGGGGCTCATTTTCCAGGGATTTCTCGCTCTCCCTCCTCCGTGTGGCTGGGGGGACACAAACCTGTGTGGCAGCTGCTGGCCGCCCCGGGCCGGGCCGCTCGGCCGCCCCGGATCCCGACTCACTCCGGCCGGTGGGGCCGGAGCCCGCGGACGTTCCCGGGGGTCCCGCGGGGCCGCTCTGGGAGGATTCGCTGCCTGTCCGGGATCGCTCCTGGTTCTCCTCGCTTCGCCAGCTTGGATGCCTGGGACAGGGTGGAAATGGGATCAGGGGACTGGGAAAGGGCTGCCCCATCCCACCATCCCATAGGATGAACACCATCCCACCTGAACCATTCCCAAGGGATCGCTGCCACCCATCCTGCTTTTCCATGGGGACCATTCCCTGTCCCTCCAATTCTCTGTGGGGATCAGCTCCGAATTTCCTGAGGGATCATTTCCATCCCATCCCACCCCTCCATGGGGATCATTCCCTGCCCATCCCCACCTTTGCCACTGGATCATTCCTAGCCAACACCTCCTTTCCCAAGAGACCATTCCCTACCCCCTCACCTTTTGGGTGGGATCATTCTTTGCCCATCCCATCACTACCAAGTGATCATTCTTTACTCATCCCAAGTCTCCCAAGGGACCATTCCCACCTTTTAAAGGGATCATCCCCATCCCACTCCCTCTTTCCCAAGGCACCATTCCCACCTTTCCCGGGGCCGT